AAGGTATCGCAAGTTAGCAGTGCGCAATCTCGTCGCGCTGGCGCACCTGGATGGCGCGGCCGCGGCTCTCAAGATGACGGCAGAGGGGACTCAGGTTCGGGGCGGGAGGCGACGAGGAGGAGCACGAGGAGGAGGAGGCGCAAACGGAGGAGGGAACAAGAAGGGTTTGGGGGGGGGACAACCGCGGAAGGACACAGGTGCACGAGTTGTGCACAGGGACAAAGACCTGGCGAACAACTGCGTGGATAACCTCATGCTTTCTTGGTCGGAGGATGATGAGGATGATGATGATCAAGCTGACGAGCAAAGTCATCATCAACATCAAGGGCGGCTGATGACGAGGATGAGGACGATGACGAGGATGATGATGGCGACAGGCATGACGAATGAAGAGGAGGACAAGACGGCGGACGACTCAAAAGACGAGGAGGTGTGGCAGCGCAGGCAGAAGGTTATGGAAGAGACAATGGAGGCCGAGTTGCACGACATATTAGAACAAGAAGCAAACGTCTCCGGGGGAGGAGGAGGACCAGCGCCAGCGCCAGCGCCAGCGCCAGCGCCAGCCATCATCGCAACAAGGAAAAGGAAAAGTGGGCAGGCGCCCATCAATGTTATGAATCATGAACAACAACCCCAGCAAGCCGTCGTCCGCCGTTCAACACGGCTGCTGCTATATCAGGGGACCCCGGCGGCTGCATCATCAGCACGAGGTGCAAATAAAGATGCTGTCGATGCAGCAGCAGCAGCAGCTGCTGCACGGCGGCAGGCTGCCCTGCAGCTGGTGCTGGCAAAGGCATGCAGCCATAAGGCAGTGGCCTTTAAAGTGGGCAAGGGGATTGAGGCACTTGCGGATCGGTAAAAAGAGATTGGGGTTTGGCAGGGATTGGGGGAATGCGGGATTGGGGTATGGGGGGGGGGTGCGGGATTGGGGGATTGGGGGATTGCGGGATGGCGGGATTGCGGGATTGGGGGATGGGGGGATGGGGGGATGGGGGGATGGGGGGGATTGCGGGATTGGGGGATTGGGGGATTGGGGGATTGGGGGATTGGGGGATTGGGGGATTGGGGGATTGGGGGATTGCGGGATTGGGGGATTGGGGGATTGCGGGATTGCGGGATTGGGGGATTGCGGGATTGGGGGATTGCGGGATTGCAGGATTGGGGGATTGGGGGTACTAGGTGTTTGTGTCTTCAAACTGGTGTTTTGTGGTGCTATAGGTGTTCGAGGGACGAGGGGCAAAATGTTTGAAATTGTGTGGTTGTGGGT